GTGAAAACTGTGGCGGGCTCATAATTGAGCCTTGTTCAGTGGCAATTACCATGAATTTAGGGACCAGTAGTCATGGAAATGGCGTCATTTTTCATCAAAATCCGCCATTTTTTTGGCGACACTTCGTTGACTGAATGAAGTATAGGAGCAGGTCCTCCAGTTATTATACAGCTCAGTGGCTCTAACCCTTAAATAAAAATTTCCACTCGATAATTTCCATCTACAAAAACCCTTCAACTACTATTCAATCGAGTGAGACGCCAACAAAGCCATAATGGTTGTTCGCCCCGCTTGGCAAGATGGCGTCGCGTACCCCGAAAAGGCGCATGGTTCATACCTTGGACGAGTCAAGAATTTGAATTGCAGACTCATCCTCCAAGATATTTCCTTGTGAAGATGAGAGTGTTTCCAGTATTTTATCTTCAATTTCCTTCAACTGTTTCTTATTCGCAGCACTTTGTAATATTAGTCCTTGGCGTTCTTCTTCTAGTTCAGGTCTGTAATAATTGAAATGCATAAATTGAATGAAAAGACAATAAAAATTCAAAACCGGATTTTGGTGTAAATAGTGGGGGAGGTTGGAAAGAAACTTAGGGGAGGTGCAGCGGTATAGCTCACGACCCCCATGGAAAGTTAGGGCTTAGAACGGGCCAAAGTCAACGACGTGACATATGCATGTAGTGTACATATGTATTAATGAATTATGACTGACTGCACTACTCATCCTACTCATTTTTGCAAATTATTGCAAAGTTTCTTTCAAAACATTGCATTAAAAGGGTACTTGACACAGAGATGAATAGCTATCACTGTTTCAATTTTACAGAATAACTTTCTTACGAAGTGCAGACCCTAAGCAACAAAAAAATGTCAAATTTTCACTCTGATCTATCATTGAAACTTTCGCAAGGGGAGGTGCATGACTTTTCAGGGGAGGTGTAAAACGATCTCAGGGGAGGTGCGCACTTCCCCACATCTCCCATGTAAAATTTGTCCTTAAGGGAAAGTAATTAAAATGATACATCATTTTAGCAATTTCATTAGCAATTATTGCGATCGATAGTTCCGTTTAAACAATGAAGATTCCTGCAGACAAACAGAGACTGACAGAAAGACATGTTGATAATTCTAGTGTGACTTACATGTACATTCGGCCTGGCTGTTCTGTATTTACATGCATATATTGTTTTGATATTTGTTCCAAATAAACGTATTTAAACTAATGTATTTAAGCTATTACACCATGTCTGATCTTCCTGTTCAAATATTCTCACAGTGGCCGCAAGGACACACAGTTTAACAAATATGTTACCTTTCTTTTGCAACAACAATCCCAAGAAGTTGATCCTCTAAACCTTCACGTGTTATCATGAAGTTCAAAAGTGTTACCTATAGTGAAAACCAGGCGAAAAAAAGTGAATTATTGAGCTATATGGAGACTGGCATGCAGTTTAGTGTATACAATGTATATAATTTTATACTTCCAAGGTATCTTTAATGAAGTTTAATATGTTAAAATAAATCATAGAGCATTTTGGACAACCAGCTTCCAAAACCGCAACTCAGCACGACAACACACACAACACACGCATGTATTATGGGCTAAACAGTGCTCGAACGATCTTTAGAGGCTCTAGGTAACCTAATCGAACCGTTATATTGCAGAGGGGGTATGCCGGCTTAGGGCATGTCATTCAGTGAGTATACCAAGATATTAAGAGTATATACCCACCTTTGTTGATAACTCTGGCAAGTAATGGGGATTTCGAAGTTTAGTTGTGATATAAAACCTAAAATCACTGGAATATTCAATCACAGTTTCTCCCAAACGAATGCACAAAACTCCACCTGTATAAAGAAAAATTGAATCGTTATATAAGGCATGAAGTACATATATAGCGTTATTTTGGAATAAAAACATGAAATTAGTGATACCTACCTTGTTTAAATGTCTGTTTCAATAACAACGGTTCTAACGATGGGTCTAGTTCTTCACGCACATTCTCTAATAATACAGGTGTCCCAAACTGAATACTGTTTTCTAACGTACGGATGTAGTCTGCATCTGTTAGTTTGATCACCTGTAAGCACACACAGATTAACAGATAAAATACAGTTAATCATTAATATTATGTAGCGCCATCGAGACAAATATTTAAATTCAGAGTGTGCCTGCAAAAATGCATATTTTAGGTTTTGAGAACTAAATATTGTCAAAATGGCAAGATTTTAACGAGATTTTAAAATGTGCAGGCACAAGTTCAAATGATGACTGAAAGTAATATGTGCAAGTAAAAGAATGATACTTTTGTCCTTACCGACAGACGATTATCTTTTTCCGAATTCTTTACCCACTTGTTGGCTTGGCCTTGTGGATCGATCATGAGTGGCCTAAAATATCAATGTGTGGTTACATTTGGCCAAGTAGATGCACGAAAGCTGTTCTGTTGCTTTAACACTGAACCTGCTATGTACAGTTTAATCACATTAAAACCGTTCGATGCCAACATTTCTCCGGCGTGGACGTTGGGATTGTGTGGGAGAAAGGAGGTGTGCGAGCCTCACCCCTAGGACCACTTACGAGTTCAAGCGATGCTCTAGGGAACGTTCATGCGAGGCTCTGGGGAACATCGTGCTCGCAGAACTAAACAGACTCACGATTTGCACGATACATAGACAGGCACAGTGGATTGTTACCACAGTATCGGCACGGAATTGTGGTAAAAGAGAATGGGTACGAGAAATTAACAAATAACCAACCAAAACCGTTATTCCCCACCTGAGCCTCGGTATCCTTCACCAGATAATCGCGGGCACGGGGAACAAGATTGGAGTTAAACATGACGGACAAGTTACAACTTGTCAGTAATGTCACACATAGAAAAACTCTCAAACTGAACCTTATAATAAATTTTATGGTTTGGGAAGAATAATTAAACCTTCTTGATTTGAAATAATTGGGGGTAACGTGCATTTTGGAAAGGATTTGTGAATGTTACACCCAACTCACCATCGTCTTGCGTTATCCACAATAACACCGTTATCAATGGAAAATGAGTCAGTTGGTAAACCAGCGATATTCCATGCACGGATCTTTATTGGTTCACCAAGAGTTTTACTGAGTGAGAAATCTGATGAGCATGAAATGCCTCTTCCCTAGAGATTAAATAGAGGGCAAAATACTATTTGAGTATAAGGCATAAGAATTGGTCATGTGGGGCGGAAACAGCGGAAACTAGGATAGGTATTCGGATGCATACATGCTCAATCGAATCCATTCAGAAGAGTCGTGAAGACAAAATATGAAAAATGATTTTAATTGTGGCCTTGTGCAGAGCTATATACTCTAATAATGATTTCGAACTGAAAGGGATCTGGTGTACCAAAATTGGGAGAAGCGCGTTCGTGGAATAACCTCCGCCTTTAACCGGAGTTTAGTACCTGTGATACAATTAAGGCTCAGATATCGAACCATCAACCTAGATTATGTTTTGTAATCCTTTTACAACACGAGTGGGTGCACGGTTGTCTATTTGTAGTTTTGATTTGTACCTTGCATGTTTGCGACCAGTCATCTGTACATCTCTTACGAAAGAGCGATGTAAAAGCACCAAGATAAGCAATGACACCAGATGATATGAGAACATCGCCAGTGAGATTGTCATAAACACGTTGTAAGTCTGCCGCGGCAGCTGACCACCTGTCTTTCTCACCTCCGAGACCACCAATAAGTTTTTGTGCGCGATCAAGTTTCTTAGAACACAAGTCAACCTGGGGAAAAATATAGAACATTTCGCTCATGGGCCGGTTTCTGATTGGCTAACACCCAGCAGTGAAATCGTCATATCATCTCAATAATATAGATGACCAAATATGGAAGAGTTTTAACATAATATTCAATGGATCATATGCTGTCATAACGTTGAATATGAAAATAATAATATTCAATGTTATGACACTATGCTGTGGAAATACGATTACGAAACGTGGAAACACGACTAAAACAATGTGGCGCCGTGTTCGTAGCTATAAAGGAAACAACTTTTAAAATACAAACAATAAATATCAACGAAATATGACAAACTGCTGAACGAATTTTCAGTGTCGCGTATTTTTTGTGAAAATGTTCGAACTGAAAACTGAAAACACCACTTAAAGCTACTTTCAATTGTTAAGTTAGAATTAAATAATCTGAGTTTCCAAAAATACAAAGGTGTTAACGTTGTTTTAATCAATGCCCCAATGCCAATTTTCGATTGCGACCAAATGCTTCTTTTAAACACATGCGTTATAAAATTATACCGGGAAACCACCCTACGGTAATTTGGGTTGTGCAAACAAAGTGTTTGTTAAATACCTGAAATTCGAGATGTTCTTTCTTTTCAGTCATTTCTTGGAATTGACTCTTTAAATTAGCCAATCTTTCCTCAACCTCAGCCAACTCACGACGCTTAGACTCCAATATTCCCATAGTTTCAGCCAATGATCCTTCGGCTTCAGCCAACTTGGCTTTCTTTGGTGCGACTACTTTAGCTACACGATCATATATCTCCATGGCACAAACCCACTTGCACAGACCCTCAGCAGCCGAAGATGCTGAACGAACTTTGGTTGCGTCAAATTCTGGATTACTGCTATACTCCTTACGAATCTTCGCCATAACATGGACCTAACAATATAGATAATACACATTTATATACTAGGTAACAGCATGGATAATAAAATAAATGGATAGGAAACTAGCTGACGTGACCTAATGTTTTTACTGGGATTGATGGCGTGGTTGGATGCCTCAACCTAGTTGAAAATCAAATTCTCAAAAACGGCATGTTTAGCAATAATACAGCTAAACATTTTAGTCAAATAGCAAATAAATGTAACCACGCCATTCTACGATGAAAACTCTAAGTATTCCCAGTCAATTTTAGCAAATATTTCAAGCACTAAACAGTGAAAAATACATCGCAAATTTCGCAAAAATTTGTGACGCCAATTTCGTAGCTACAAATGTAAAAAATACAAAACAAAGACGAAAAACATTTACCTTGAATACTTTGTCGTGGCTTAGGCATGTTTTTAAAACAATTAGACCAGTTTACGCTTCAAGATCACCCTTTTAAAGTGGAAAATATTGCAAAACAACAAATATGCCGAGAACTTTGGTAACATTCGCAATACGCGTGACGTCACGTTTTTCAACAAGGATGCAGTCAATGACGTCAGAAGTTTCCAATCCGTTTATTTTATTATCCATGGTAACAGTATGCTTTTGAGTGCAAATTGGGGAAAAAAACATGCACGAGTGAGTATTTCAAAGACGATCAAAATTGAATTTGAAGTCTAGTTAATTTAAAAACTCACGAGTGTAGGTTTTTCCAATTTGCCGGCATGAGAAATGAGACTATTACTTTTTATCACATAGATGAAAAAATCATGCGGAAGAAATTCATAGTCACTTCAACACATGAAGGCAAATAACTGATTTACTCAATCTTCATTTGATTGGCACAGCAGCTTAATACGAGTTTACAACTGTCGGAAGTCTAAACTGAAATAAAATGTCCTGTAGTTGGGCGTTTGCCATGTATTACTGTTCTTTGGCACTGAATTTTTTTTTTGGAACGGAATTTTTTTTGCAAAATTTAATATAAAACCTGTTTGAGATGCCAGGAATAGCCACAGTGAAAATGGACAAAAATAATGGAGTCGTTGCCCATGCAGTTCGCTGATGCAAATAAATCTAACGAGAATCTTTCCGGAGTTTAGTTTGTGTACTGGCGCTGCCGAAGAACACTGGATGTCTCGGTAACTTAATCTCTCAACACTTCATAACATCCGGGTACTCGAGAAATACATCTTTCACAGTTGACAAATGGCGGATTACACTGGAAAAAAAATTGAAAATCAATAGAACGTCATAGAATGGAAATTATATGGACCTTTATTGGAAATAGAATGGATTTTGGTTATCCATAATAATTGTATATTTCCATAGTATGAATATAGTATGGAAATAGTATGGACACTAGACATAGGCTACTATGGATATAGTGGTGCGATTGCAAATCTCATAGTATGGATTTCACATTTTTTTCCAGTGTTATAGACGCCAACGTTACTTGCGAAATACTATATTGCGCTGATATGCACATGTGGGGGCATAACGAGGGATTTCGACAAACAAATATAGCTTTGTGATGACTTGAAGTGAAGAGCATTAGCTAGCTAAAACACAACAGCATTCCATTTTCGTTGTTTATAGCTCGATGTTTGTTCTCTAGCTCGGACTGGAAACGCACTCATTTTGTGAATTGCATTTATCGAGAGCTGATCACATATATACGAGCCATAGATATCTTATATACACTAGATAGTGCATCTAATTATTCAGCAATTCAAAAATTGAAGCCGTGTTTGCAGACTCAGGATATTCCCATGAAATGAGAAGACTCGTATGTTTTCTATTTCTTGGACAGGGAACTTAAACATTAGTTAAACCTATTCCAAATACATTTTCAAACTATTCAAATGATGAAAGTTATTGTTGTTTTTTAAGCGTTTATTATAGCCTGTGGGAAACATGGCCGCCATCTATTCAAATGGAGGTAACCGCTGGAATATTCTCGGCTTCAATTTTACTAAAAGAGATGCGCTATCTAGTGTATATAAGATATCTCTGATAGGAGCTAGTATTCTTAATTAAATATTCTTAATTTAAGAAATAAATTCTTAAAATGAGAAAATAATTTTCTTAATAGGAAAAAATATTCTTGAAATAAGAAATTTTTGAATCCCAAGATATTTTTTATTAAGAAAATACGATTTTCCTATTTTAAGAATGTGTTCGTAAGACAAGAAATGAAATTCTTAAAATAAGAAATAATAAAATAGTAAGACAATTTTATTTTATTAAAATTTCGAACCAAGCAAATTTAAAATTTTAGTGTTAAAATTTACCTACAAGAACTAGGAATGGCATGCATTCTATACACTATTAATTAGGGGTGTTTAAATCCATATTTAACATCTTTTGATTTTTGCATGTTTCCTCAACATTTTTTAAACAAGAAGATGTCAAAAGGCATCCTATAGTTTTATACTTTATATGGGTTTAGTACTAATATTATACCTCAAATTCAAATTGTCCAATGAAAAAACAGCATTTGTACCACGTGATAATGTGATTTTTTACGCAATGCAGCGTGAATATCCCACGGCAGATCCACCGTGGGATATTATAGTATCCCACGGTCACGCGTGACGCGTGGACACCACGCTCTGAAACAATATGGCGTTCGCGAGCTGTTGTTTGTAATTTCGTTATTTTCGTACAGAAGATTTGATTTAAACAAAAATTTTCGAGACGTATGTTATCTTTAATGATCCAAAGGATACATGCTCAAATATTTTAAAGAGGAAACGTCAAAAACTCAGGTATACATAAGAAATTAAAAATTGTATTCGTGTAGTTAATATTCAGCAAGTTTCAAAGTTTATTCTGAACTACTGAACTTAGTGAGTTCTTTAACTTTCGGTATAATATATCATTTATAGACCCTCCGCTCGGGGGATTCGGCGATATTTCCCTCACTCATGATATTTTCCTCGGGGCAAAGCCCCTCGGAATATCATCACTTCGGGAAATATTACGCCGAATCCCCCTCGCTCCGGGTCCATAAATGATAAATGTTCACTTTATTTTAACTGTATAACCCTTGTCTGCTGAACCTGTGTAACCCTGGTGAATTGAACATAACAAATATAGACAGCAGATGATATAGTTAGAATGACAATCCTCAAGTGCACATATGGTATAATTATATAAATAGTTCATTACCATGACAACACTTCTATGAATATTTTAGTATGTCTTATTAATATTGTACGTGATGCGTTGACGACTTACGCTGAAGTTACCTCCTACTACTTTTCAAATGTAGAAAATTTATGGTTTGCTCTTGCATCTAAATTGTTTGGAAGAATTTTTAAGTATACAATCCTAATCACACTACTACCCTAATACTAACATTAATAATCCTAATCCTAACCCTAACATATAGTGTTATTCTTTAATTAAATCAATGTCAAAATACGAAATTTCGGCACACTCCCAACCGCGCAAACAAAAAACAATAGAAGGGGACTGGAACTGACGTCCAATAGCTCTCTTCAATTTCCGCCATCTTGGCTTCACGTTTTGGACTCGAGTTCTCGCTCCAGATATATATGGAGGTCACTGGGTGAAACGACGATTACAGTTGATGAGAGTTGAAACTCTCACTCGTTTTTGATCGTCAACTTTCGTCGACTCTCCTGCACTCTCATGAACCCTCAGGTCAAGTGAAAAATACCTGGGTTTCCGGTCACCTGACGTACCTATTTTTTGGCCACTAATGTCACTGACCGTAGTCTTTTTCTCTAAAATTTGCAAAGAGTTTGGATCAATTGTGGTGCCCAAACGAAGTTTGGCATCGCTTTATTTTCGCCGGTTGGAACAAGGAAGAGGAACCCAAGATACGCGATAATTGATAGTGGATACACGCGCGGTTTTATAATAGCGAGCTTAAGATCTACAACGCGAACTTACGACGCGGACGTCGCATTAAACAAGTTTTATTTTAAAACGATGGCAAATATCATTAAAATATTTTAATCACAGTAAATAAAATGAAATTATACTGGAAAAAATGTACAACATAACAGAGGTTAGCAATATATTAAGAAGATGTTTTTTATCATAAGTTTTTACGACTTCTATGACGACGAATCTTTGCAAATATCATGTCGTCTCGGATGGTAGTTTTGGCGGGAAAATGTGCATTCGTAACAATAGTCTATAAAGCCTGGTTTCTATCATTTCGTATGGCTGTTAACGTGTCATAACAGTGTCACAAATCTCGCAGAAATAAACTGTGACAACTCTGACTAGGCTTACACTCGTGAAATAAATAACAATTTTGAAGATATAACAAGGTAAGCACGTCCGCGTCACAAATTCGCGTTGTAGATCTTAAGCTCCCTAATATATTTTAATTATACACTAAACAGTTGATCCAACGCTAAGCACGACTTTGCAACAAAGTAAAGCATATATGAAAATCGTGTCTTAAACTAAGACTATAGTGGTTAAAAAAGCTATAATGATCTAACTTTATTTATACTTGATAGCTCTGTCAGTTCTAAACTGTTATAGTACTGTCCTCCCTTGAGGACGATGTTACAATTATAGCCGTTTCATGTTGGTTCAGTACTGTTACCACAGGAGACCTACATTATCTTAATTATGCATAAATACTTGCAAGTTCTATCAGTTCTAAACTGTTACAGTTAGGACCATTCATTATTTCTCCATTGCAGTAATAAAGCAACTTGAGCCAAACTAACTTAATTTATGCCAATTGTTATGAGCCGGTCCTTGACTATAGTTTATTTTCTTAGTTATAGTCTTATACAGGGTGTCTAAAAAAACGCTATGGAAATTCAACATGTTGTCGTGCATCATAAACGCGGCTAAACAATTCAATTTTTACATAGGACGAAAGAACAGTTATTTAGCTTTTCAATGTCCAATGATATACTCTTTTTAAATCGTAACGATGAGAACTGGCCACATTCTCGTCAAATAAAAATTGCCGGCCGAAATCACATTCTTCCACTGTTGGGAATTGCA